TTTTATATTATTTTTCTGTTGAATATACTACAACTAAAGTTTTGCCTGCTTTGCATGAATCCGTCACATGCGGAGCTTCACTGCTCTATGCCGGGCGGAGAGGGAAATCCGCTCAAACTCAAAATGTGCGCCTGTCGCTGCGGACCGTCGCACCACCGCACCACTCAGGCAGCAATGTGCGTTGTCGCTGGCAGCAAGTACGAGTAGATGTGGTGCTGCAGCGGCTGCGGCTGGTGGTGGTGCTGCTGAAGGTTTTGGTAGTGGGTCAGCGGCGTTGGTGGTGCTGGCGGTGCATTGGCGCTGCCGGGTCAGGTCGCTGTCGGCGTCATCAAGAACTGCTGCTGCTGATGGTGGTGGTGCTGGTGATGATGGTGATGATGATGATGCGGCTGGTGGCTCTGATGGAAATGCTGATGTTGTTGATGATGTGCCTGCTGCTGCTGCTGCTGTTGTTGTTGTTGCTGCTGTTGTTGCTGCTGCTGCTGCTGCTGCTGCTGCTGCATTTCACGCTCTAGTTTCTTAGCGAGCAAATCATGCCTTGATTCCATACCCGCTCCTCTGCAAGTAGTTTGGTAGAACAGTTGGCGTTGTAAGTGGCTGTCAGTGAGGTTTGACACTGGGTTTTTTGCATTCAGTGATTTGGATAGTTCTTAAAGCGTTACACATTAAATGGACTCGACATGCATGGCTGCCTGGCTGTGTGTGTGCATGTGTATGCATGTGTGTCTGTGTGTGTGGCACACATGCACGCACATAGCCTTCAGCTACTATTTTATGGCCGAACCGCTATAAGAATCATTCTTTATTTGGAAACAGCATGCAAAGAAACAAAGATTCGCACAGCAGCTCCAAGCAGCAGTTCCTGGAAGCCCCTTGCATCCCTCTGGGGGCTAAGCGATTTTTTACGATGTTGCTGGCTTCTTCGCCTTCCCTACTAACCCAAACACACAGCCCCTAGCCTTACGCACTACCGAAACGAAAACGAGAAGCTTTCGTAGCTTGTATAGCGCTTTAAATTGATTTCGAGTCAGCAGCCAACCCCAAACAGCAGCGAAATTTACTAAAAATCGAACTGCAAACATTTTATCCCCATAAACTTTTTGCAACTTGACTGTAAATAAATTTCGAGAAATCAATTAAAAAGCAATACAAATTTGCATATTTGCTTTGAGCTTTGACTCATGGCTGTATCTGATTCAGATTCACATCAAAGTATGTCTCATGTCTGTTGGCCACAGAGCTTCAAATTGGATGTGAAATATTTCTAGTCTTATTTCAATTAGGGAACTCAATTTCATATGCTGGTATTCTCTTGTATTACATGTCTGTTATTTAGGTCCGTTGCTCAACTGTTGCTTAGTTGTAATCAACCCATATTTTATTACTGAATTTATTATTCTTATTATTATTATTTTTGTGTTATTAAAGTCCTTTCTTTGATTCGAGAGGAAATATATCTTTAATGGAAGTCCTATTCTTTTTAAATTTGCTCATTTATAGTAAATTTGTCTGAAGACTCGAATTTCCGTCGTAATAACCGTACGAACGGTATAAACGGACACCTTCTCGGATTCTTGTGTATTATATAGATAACTTATCAGAGAATATAGAGCTCCAAATTAGGAAAGTCCGATAATTAAATTCTTTTAGATCAGAATTGAAGAATCTAACTTCTTTAATTCTTGGCTCTCATTAATATGCACTTTAATTAGCTGTACTCCCTTCAAACAAAGATCTTTAAGATCTACAACATTTACTCGAATTTTGTCTACCTCGATTATATTAATCATTCGTTCATTTTCCACAGAACTCATCTCATTTCAGTATTCATGTAGTTTTATCGATATTATTATTTTATTTTATTATATAATTTTGAATAATTCTTCCATCTATATTTGTTAAGATACTCGCGTCCGATATGTAGAACTCCCTCCTATTCCCGTCGCCACTAACCTTAGAAAGCCTTATAAATTCTATTCACAATCATAAACGAATGAATCCTGTCGCTGCTTTCGTTTCATAGTCTAGCGATTTTTATGTTTTAAACTACTTTTCTTTAGCGTAATCAACGACGCATCGTGGGTGGCCGCACATAATTCAGGGCGTGGCTGTGTGTGCTTTGCATTTTGTATAAAGTTTGCATGCTCTTGTTGTTGTTGTTCCTGCGGCTGCTGTATTTATTTGCCGTTCATACGGTTGTTGCTACTGTTTGTGATCACGAAAATTGAAAAAGTGAATTTATGCGTACTCTTAGCATTTAAAATAAGTGCAGCAAGCAGCATACATACTATTTATGTGTGTGTCTGTCTGTGTGTGTGTGTATGTGTGTGTGTGCTCAGCTTAAGGTGAAAAAAATGTTGTTGTTGCGACTAAGCGGAAGCTTGCATTTAAAACTCGAGATGGCCATATAAAATGCAGGAGTAGCATGTAGTGCGTGTGTGTGTGTGTGTAGCATAAAGTCAAGTGCTATAAGGTGGCCATAAATCGTTCCCCGTGTATGTATATGTGTGTGTGGGTGGGTGGGAGTAGTTGGGTCTTTATGCTGGCCATATATGTTTGTTATAATTTGTATTTAAATGCCTGCCTGGTCGCAATTTTTGCTGTTGCTGCTGCTGTTGTTGCTGCTGCTGTTGCTGTGTTGCTGCTGTTGCCATGCAAAGTAAACGAGGCGAGCTAAACAATAACAATTTGCAATTTCATAAATAGTTAATTGGCTTCGCCTTTTTTCGGGCAGGTTGCATACAATTTGCTTATGATATATGGTGCTCGAGTTTGGAGGCATAAAGGTCGTGAGTTATGGGCAGAACCCTTTGCGTGTGAGAGTGGGTTTGCATTAAATATTTCAAGAGCTTAGAGACTATATAAAAGCGGGCTTAAGAATTGCTGAGCGATAGTTAAGTGTGTGGGTTGTGCGTGAGTGAGAAAGAGAAAGAGAGTTAGACAGAGAGAGAGAGAGAGAGTGTGAGAGCGAGTTAGCAACTACATAAACGAAATTACTTTTACTTTTAGGTTTCATTGATTGCTGTTTGGTGGGTTTACTTTTTGTTTCTTATTTATCATATACATACGTCTCTAAAGAGATGATTTTGGTGGTGCTGATTTGGATGAAGTTGGTGGTGCTGTAGTGAGTTAACAACAACGCTAGTGGTGCTGGTGCTGGTGCAGCCTGCAGTTGGCTGTACTTGTAGTGGTTGCTGCTGTTGTTGTTGTTGCTGTAACTGCTGCTGCTGTTGCTGCTGTTGCATTTGCTGTTGCTGTAGCTGAAAMTGTTGCTGCTGTTGCTGTTGCTGTTGTTGGGCCGATGCCTGTGCCGCGACGAGCATATTGGCATTCGCAACATGCCCCAAATCCAAGCCGCCATTCAATAAAAATAGTTGTTGCTGTTGTGCTGCTGCTGCTGCGGCTGCTGCTGCTGCTGCTGCTGGCTTGCCATTCATTAGCGGCAGCGACAGCTCGTTTAGCATCTTGGTCTTGGCGTATTCGATGCGTATGCAGCCGCGATCTGAACTGAGCAAGTACTTGCCCTGCAGCTGATGCATGGCCTGCGCAGCACTCGGAGCATCGTTGAATTCAATAAAGGCTACCGGATGCTGCTGCTGTTGCTGCTGGCCAGAATTGGAGTTGCTGTTGCTGCTGCTGCTGCTGCTGCTGCTGGTATTGCAATTTGTGGCTGCTGCTGCTGCTGCTGTTGACAATTGGCGGTTCACAGTTGCAGTGTGGAAAGTTGAAGTTGGTGTTGGAGAAGGCAGAGTTGAAGACAAAGTTGGAGGCATAGAAGTTGTGATATTGTGCGTACCTTTTGTGTGCATTCGGAGGCGACAAAAGCCAGGCATACTGTGCATATATATGTTAACGTATTTTGAGTGGCATATACGATATATGTGTATACACACGTGTGTGTATATATAGGTGTGTAGGTAGTAGTCGGTTATCGATAGTTCATGTATAATACAAGTGATGGGCAACAAACGACAAACCAAAGAGAGAACGCAAAAGAGATGCTGATTAGTCTTTGCGATTAGTAGAGTTGAGAAAAAATTTATGGTGCAGTTGGTGGTTAGGTGGTTGTGGTGGTTGTGGTGGTTGTGGTGGCTTTGGTGGGCTTAGTGGTTCGTTTAGGTGGCTGCTGTGGTTAACAATGTGGTGCAGTTTTCGCTCAACAACTCAAACTTTGTGACGTGTTTACTTGTGTATATCGGTATATCGCTTATCGTTTCTGGCTTAGCTTATATCGATAAATGTTAATCAGAGTTGAGCTCATTCATTTACCTAGAGAACACCTCCTTCAGCTCGTGCTCGGACACGAACTGACCCAAGTTGGCTACGAACAGCGTCGAGCAGGGCGCATTGGCGGCTATTTGTGGGTTGGCTGGATGCGCGGCATTATTGGTGGAGCCGGCGGGGCTAGCCAGAGCGGGACTGGATAAAAAATGATGATGTGATGCGGCCGCAGCGGCGGCGGCGGCGGCTGCAGCGGCTGCTGCTGCTGGGTTGCCTGCAGCACCTTGCGGCGCCGCAGCGGCAGCAGCAGCGGCGGCTGCCGCACTAGCAGCACCACCGGCGCCACCGCCGCCAGCGGCCAAGTGCGCCATGGCCGCCTGCTGGCTGGGATGTAAAGCGGTTGCAGTTGTCTGATGATGTGGCATTGTCATTTGAGTCTGCAACACGCAACAATTAATAACGTTTGTGTGTGTCTGGGTGTGTGTGGGTGTGTGGGTGTGTGGCGCTGCGCCTTTACTCACTTGATGCATAGGCTGCTCCATTACTTTGTCTGTATTTAGTCAGAGATAGGAGCGTACGGGCACCTGCGGATGCAGTGCCGGATGCACGAGTGTTGCATGCTGCAAGGCAGCGGCACCGGGCAGCTCAGCGGCGGCGGCTGCTGAATACGCTAACGGATGATGCCATAGCTCGGGTCCGCCCGGAAAGAATGGCCCGCCCAGATCTATGAGAAAACGGAATAGAAAACGAGACAAAGAGAAAGTGGGAGAGAGAAAGAGAAAGAGAAAGAGAGAGAAGCGAGAAGTCAGTTGAGCGCCAGTTTGTAAATTTTTATAATTTCACATTAAGCTAAAAATGTTTTTCTAATTTTCGCTTCTTATTAATTTCTAAAAAAGTTAACAAAATAAAATACCGAAAATACTGTTTGTTTTCAAGTTCGTTGCCTAAGTTATTCGTTTCATTGCATATGAAAAACATTTCTTCATCTTCTGGACTAGAATCTTTAAGCAAGTTTCAATCAATATGAATATATATGTATAAATATATATAGGTTTTTTGAGTATTCTGTGTATATATATTTGTATACTACAAATTTCACGAATTGTATACGTGTGTGTCTTAGTGTATGTGTGTGTGTATGTGTTTGTGGCTGTGTCGTGGTGTGTGATTCAAACAATGTGTTATAGTGATCAAAGTGCAGTTACATATCATAGTTGTTTGTTGTTGTTGTGGTCGTTGTTGTTGTTGTTGTTGTTTGTTGCAGTTTGTTGAGCTGTTGCTGTAACCTATGTAAATATTTATAGCGAAATTTAGTTGGGGCTTACGATATTCGATCACAATTGATACATAGCCATATATACGGTAAATTAATATATATATTTGAATTTGTATTGATAGAGAGATATAGATACAGAGAGAGAGAGAGAGAGAGAGAGAGAGAGTGTGTGTGCACTTGAAGCAAATTTCAACTGTTCAATTGTTGGATTATTGTTGTGTTCGTGTGTGTGTGTGTGTGTGTGACTCATAATAATTAGGAAGTGCATTGCGTACGCTCCCTAGGCACGCCATCGATTCGTTAGCTTGAAGTAAATATTGTGTGTTTTTATTTTTTGTTTTTCTTACTATTTACTACATACATAAACCAAAAGAAGAATATTTTGTAACTAGAAAAAAGTAGCAGCTGCTGAATCGAGCTTTCATTTTTTTTAGTTAATCAATTTTTTTTTTTTTTTTTACTTACGTCCAGTGAGTGGGTGCATCAATGCAGGATGTGAGGCTGTTGTCGCTGTATTGGGCTGTGGTTTGGGTTTGCTCACTTTCGTGTTACTCTTGGCGAATTCCAAGCGAATTGTTTGGGGCATATCGGGATCGAAGCGTACACCCTGCTGTAAATGATCAGATCAAGATACAGCGGTTTGTATATTCTATTTAATTTGCATTTTCGTTTTTAGTTTGTCATTTAATTTAAAATTTTTGCAAAATAAAAACGAGTGTTTCTCAATTCAACTCGGAGACTTTCTACTCGACTGTCTTAATTTCTATTTGTAAATTTGTTGACTTGCAACAATTCGCCAAAAATAATTTCAAATGTCGCATATCTAGTGTTAAGAAAGAAAGAGAGAGAGAGCGAGAGAGAGCTGGGGAGAGCAGATTTTGTATATTCTACTTTGATCTTCGAATTCTGATTGGGAACTTAGAATCCAACTTGTTTTTCTTATTGGCAGTGCTTACGGAACGCTGAGTTGAGGCTATTGAGTGGTGCCTTTGGATGCCTTGTTCTGTTCAGAAGTTGACGGGTTAGGGGTTACACGGATCTAATTTAGAGTGTTGGTGTTGCTGTGTGTGTGAGTGTGTGTAGGTGTGTGTGAATTGATCTCTGGTATATATGCACGTAAATCAAAAGCAGGAGATGACAACAGCAACTGCATAGGAGGAGCACCTATGAGTGGGGCGTTTGGGTTCTTTCAAATTCGTTGAAGAAATTTGGTGCCAATGGGTGGTGCCAAGGGGTTGAGGGGGGTGTCATTGACATGCACCAGCCACTTAAATTGTTCACTAATAAATAATTTCACATATATGTATATATTGAATTAGAGAGAGAGAGAGCGAGAGAGAGAGAAAGAGCGAGAGAGAGATGTGTTTAATGTGATGTATATGTAGTTTGTGTGGTGGTGTGACAGAGAGCGAGATATAGAGAGGGGGAGAGTAGAAGTCTGAGAGCGAGATGCAATACCAAAACAATAAAAGAGAACAACTCAATAGGGAAAGTCTTAAATGTAAATGCGGTGAAGGTTCTTTCAAAATGCAAGCACGTGTGAGAGGTACATATTGTTGTAGTTGTTGTTTGTTGTAGTTGTTGCTGTGGGTCTTGAGACATGATTGAGGGACCTAACTGTTCTTAACGCTTAGTGTAAGCCAGGCAATAATACAAGTTTTATTTTATGTTATCTTTATTTTTTTTAATATTTTTTTTTCTTTGTGTGCTTTACAATCTAAGAAGTGTTGATGCTTTTGGTACGGCGAAAATTTAGATTTATTCGTTGCCATTTGGGGTAGTCTTTTGGCAGACATTGCTAAAAATATTCAGTGTTTATCGCATATGCTTATATATTTATAAAGTTGACAAAATGTTTGGTAGTAAGTATATAGTTATATTTATTTCAAGTTGTTTGGCTAAACAGTTCGCTTTAATAGTTACCTGCAGGTCCTGTTTGGCTGCCTCGGCTCCGGCTCTTGTATGGAATGTTACGAACCCAACGGGCTGTGGTTGAATAAGGTCGGTTAGGTCAGTAAGGTTTTCACACTTGCTTTTGTCATAGGTGCTCTAAAGCATTTACTTACCGATGCTGTTTTGCCATTTTTGCTAGTTACTTTCAGTAGAGATCCTTCGTAGCCCTAATAGATGGATGGATGGATGTTTATCAAATATAAGAATAAGAATAGTTCTGTGCAAACTCTAATTATTTCTGGCTAACTTGCAATCATTTAAAATGTTCGATTTTTTCCCTATTACTTTAATGCTAAGGTCTTCGCTTGTCTGGCTACTCTTATTCCTCTCCTAATGTCATTCTAGCTGTCAAGGTAGTACTATACTTAAGTATCGATAACTTTCCAGTTACTTATCGATAGTTCGTATAGGCTGACTCTATGAACCTTTTATCCTTTAAAAACCTTTTATTAGTGTTTTCCTTCGGTTTCCTCCTCTTTCACATAGTATAATATCATATTCAATCTACTCTGACTTCAGCCTAATATTGCTGCCTGGGTACTTTAGGGAATACGAAATTCAGTTTATTTATATTCAAGTGCTTCCGGCCCTTGCTAGGTCTTTAGGAGAGTGGCCTCTATGGCCAAGTGCGGGACTTGGATGAGCATGCGTCTGCCTGGCTAGTTTTCGTCTCGGATTACTCACCTCATAGGCTCTGAATAGCAAATAGAGCTCGCGTGGCTTAGCATCCATTGGCAAGCCGCTGACGAACAATGTGCGCACCTGCAGCGGATAAGAGAAAAAGGTAGATGGATTAGGCACAAGTGGGATGGAAATAGAGAGGCGGCTATACAGTTAACAAATCTGTGTGGAATGTACGTATGTAAATATATTTTGTGAGAAACCAATTTCCCATGATTGTGTTATTAAGTTAAAGCCAACACGCTGCGGGCGACGCAGTGCAGAAGTGAGCCGGAAACCTTTGGCCTCCATTTCAATGTGTCAAATATTTAAATTTCGCTGCTACCCAAAAGCCCAAAAAGTTCATGTCACGCACACACGTACACACATATGCGAGGCAGCATGCATGTGTATGTGCGTGTGTGTGTGTACCTATCTTTGTGTGTAGTGATAATGAAAGCAAATGGAATAAGCGCCATAAACGCTGAATTCATTAAGGCAACGACGTGACGCGCTGAAACAGAATGAATGTGAGGGAAAAAGAGAGAGAGAGACAGAGAGAGAGAGATGGAGCTGGAGAGCGTGTCAAGGGGGCTTTCGGCTCTAATGAGCCTTGCCGCATTTTTGTTGTCTCTCTTTATTTTTAACACCTAGGCCAACAGATGGATAACAGAAGGGCCAAGCTGTGTCAGCTCTGAGCTGAGAGCTATTTTTAGCATCCATGTTTTTCCTGTTTGCAGTAGAAAAGAGTGTTCTGTGGCTTAGAATGTATTAGCTACAATGAGGAATCAGTTTCAGTTAAATTTTGTTACTGGAAATGATCTGAAATGCTCAACATTGAAGTGTTGATCAACGTAGATCTATCTAGCTATAACTACGGGTATAGCTAATACATTACTGAATTTTAAATTATTTATTTATTATCTTACAAATATTATTTATTGCAGTAAACTCAATTCGTATGCTATAATTAAAGCAAGTAAAAATATATTTAATCTAATTATAATAAATAAATAAAAAGAAAAATTAATCTCAAATTTCTGAATATAATATGTCAAGAAATTATATAAAGAAAATAAAATAATTCGAAATGACAACTATATTATTATTTTTTTTTTTTTTCGATTTACACAGGTGTTTAATCGAGAATTACTGAGAAGGAATTTCTTTCAAAAACCGTCAAAACTTGCGACTCTGTTATCTTTGTAACCCCTTCTGGAATGACCAGCATATACTCGGATGCTGTGGCAATTTGTTGTGCCAAAACTCCTCCTGCTGAGTGTGAAATATGTCGCTCAGCCTTGAGTGGGTAAATGAGTGTGTGTGAATATGTGTTTGTGCTTTAAAATTAGAACGTGTTCTATCGGGAAATCTAGCTATTGTTAGCTAAAAAGGTGAAACATGTAGCGCAGCAGAAGCAGAAGCTGCTGCAGTTGAGGCTTTAAAAATGCCCAGCTGCCATTTACAAATTAATTAATTCACTCAAGTGCTGGCCAGCATGAGCAGCAGCAGCAGCAGGAGGGAAAGAATGGAAATACAACAATAAAAAATAATAAAAAGCAAGAAATCCTTTGACGTTTGCTGGCACTGCCAAAAAGGATCTGTGAGCCACGCTCAGTTAAATAGCAATTAAAATTAATTTTTGCGCAGTCTGCGGTCGCCTCTCCTCCCGCCCTCTGCGGCTCCACTAATTGGACGGGTAATGAGCTGAGCGGAGACCTCGCTGCCTCAAAAAACAAAAAAATGAAAAGCGAGAAACGAAAATAGAGAAGACAGAGGAATAAAGTTAAAAAATGTTTCAAGTAAAATGAGCCTAGCGCAAACTAATTAGAAAGTGGATCCAGCACTTACTGAATTATACTCGTGGTTAGAAGATTCCTGCTGCAAATGGCATTGAAATGCAATTAAATTGTGTGTGTCAGTGTGTGCGTGTGTGTGTGTGTGTGTGTGTATTGCACCTCAAGTTGATGTCATGTCTCGGCGCAGCAAATATGCCAAGAGCAAACAAGAAACTGGCAGACGGTCAGGAGCAGAAGCAGGAGCAGGAGCAGCAGTAGCAGGAGCAGGAGCAGCAAATGGAACTCTGCTCTCAGACGTGCAGCCAGTTGCATTGGCAACCGCAAAAGCCAGTTAGCCGGAGCCAAATCAGCCATAGACGTGGACTAAATGCGAGTTGGCTGCCACCACCTCCCCTTTCCCCTCGTCTACCTCGCTACCTCGTTGGGCCACTGCGGATACACATTTAACATTTTGGCAAACACACAAGCGAGCAGAACTACTAGCTCCAGCTGCCCACGCAGCCAGAGCCAGTTAACCCTTAGCTCCACTGCCGTATGGTGCCCACTGTATGTATATAGCTGTGGAGCTTGTGTGGGTGTTGCGGCAACAACTTTGCTTGCCAAATTCCATTTAAATACAGTAAATGTCATAGAGTTGCAGTTAGATTCGTGCTCCCGCTCCTGCACCTGCTCCTGCTCCTGCTCCTGCTGCTACACTCATTGTTGTTTGTTGTTGGTCAACCTTGCAGCTTGGTTGCCTGCGCTTGGCAATGATTTTTGTTGCCGCAACCAAAGTTCTCAGCCCTCTGTCCCTCTCTCCTTCTCCCTCTGTCTGTTTGTTTTTGTGGTTGTTTAACTGCAGTTGCTGCTGCTGATATTATTGCCAAGAAGTTGGCGCTCACCCACTCCCTTCACTTCATTCGCAGTGCGTTTAGCCGCAAGTTGTTTTGTCTCCCTGTCTTCCTGTTGTGGAAGTCAGTTTATATTCGGCTTGTTTGACATTTGTCATTTGTAATTATACTCTCAATTTTGGTTGTCTGCCAAAATCAGTTAAGACGCTCACTTTGTCTCGAGTACGAGCGTTAAAGAAAATGGCTTCCTTTCTTTAAAGACTTGCCGAGGCAAAGGCAGAGCCAGAGCTGCCTTCATTTGTGCAAATATAAAGCATACGCAGCGTGGCCCTCCGCTGCAAATTGAGCTCTTTAAACTTGTCTTGTCTGCTCGGACCAGTGTAAATCACTCTCGAGTCAAGTGTTGACTGGCGATAACTCAGCGTGACACACACACACATACACGCGCGACTTATAAGGCATTTATGAACGCCCAGTTGCAGCTGTGGGCGTGCCGCAACTCTCTGAGGCTTGGCATGCGCAATTGGCGTCTGAGAGGCGTTAAATTGTAAGAGCTTGTAAATTGTAAATTGTAAATTGTCAAACGGCTGGCAAAATTACGACAGACATACAAATCGAGAGGCTAAGTCAAGAATGAAAAAAAAAAAAAAAAAATAGTTAGCTAGCGGCTTTTGCAAATATTTATATAGCTGCAGTGATTGTTGTTGCTTTCGTTGTTGTTGTTGTTGCTGTTGAACTTGCTGCGTGTTGGCAGCGTCAACATCAACAACCAAACATTTAACATTGAAACAACTTTTGATGTTGACTTTTATAGCATCGGCGGCTTTTGCACAAAGTATTTGCGTAAATATTTTCACCTTTTAATAGATGCCAATTAAACAAATTATTTATGCATTTTTTGTAGCATTGTTGCCTGAGTGGCAAATTAAAATTTTATCGCCAATCAAACTCACATTAACCGAGCCAGAGCACAGGTGACTTTAGTAAAAATTAAATTTAGTATTGCTCACATATATCAGTATTCAATAATATTTATATTTATTAAGAATTGTTTATAGGAAATATTAAAATTATAGTCAAATAGGAACAGTTAGCTTTAAAAATAGAATCTAAATATATCTCAATTACGCAGGTGTGTTGCACATTAATGGGGGTTATTAGACTTTTTAACCTGACCCTAAGAATCCCATTTGAGTAGACTTAAAAGTAAATGCTCTCATCTGTCAAGTATGCTGTTTAAGTAGCTAAGTGCCTTGTCTTCTGTCGGCAATTTGTCCCGCCAACCAGGGTCAATTGCAAGCTCAATTAATTGGCATAATGCAAGACAATGGTCAAGACTGAAAACTTCTTTCAGCAAGATACTCCCGACTAGCAGCTGGCCGAGTCAACTGTGAAATGCCTTCAGTTATAAACTCGACTGCAGTTGCTTTTTCTTATTGTTGCTGTTGTTGTTGGGTCTGTTGCTGATTCAGTTTGTGAATATGGTCTCCTTTGCTCTCGTTTAAATAGCTTGTCAAATGCTCAAGAGAATCAACAAGCATAGAAAAGAATTTTCGCCCTCAGGCCACAACTGTGAACAATGGCACTTATTTAAATATATACTATACAGATATATAGCAACTATATATGGCGACTTCTTTGTGTAAGCGCAGAAGCAGAAATGGCAAAGAAAAGACTTTTCGATTTTATATTTTTTGATATTGATATCAGTTGCATATTTTGTATATAAAAGTATATATTTTATATTTTTGTGTTTGTAAATTATGGATTAGTATTGTTAGATTATAGAAATATGATAGTGTAATGAAATTATTCTCTGTCACACAAATAAAGTACAAACCGGTCAAGGGATAGTCCTATGCTATGATCGGAGTCGTTATTACTGCACTCTACTGTAGTCTTTACGTCTTTACGCTATATATCAAAAAGCTAGCTTCGATAGTTTCTAAGAGTTTCGCTCTCTAACTGCCCTTCGATCAGCTGCAGCTTGTCCTTGCAAAAATAGTCCGTTTCAAAAATAATCTTTCCTGCCATTTTCGTCAAGTCTAGTTCTAATTTTATTTATTGGTCGATTCCTAGGGAACTCTGCAAGCTGTCGGAAAACTCTAGCTTTAATTCATTTCTCATTGCGAATTCAATATGCAGCTCGGGCGTGTCCTATGAAATGTGAATGCGGAGTGAATGAATGAATGAATACTGAATGCGACTGCAACATAAGACGTTATTGTTGTTGTTGCTGTTGCTGTTGTTGTTGCCGTTGTTGTTTGGTGTTTTGCCGCAGTTTGCATACAAAATGGCGTCGGCCATTGCATTGTGGCAGCCTTGCCGAGAGTGTGCAGTGCAGCACGTGAAGCAACAGTGCAGACGATTGCAGCAGCAGCTGTAAATCGTGGCTAGAACAATGTTTCCAACTTCTTTGGGCTTCAATGAAAAGTTTTGCTCAAATGCTGCGCCTTTTCTTGCCTTTTATATC